TTAACAGCTTCTACTTTCTCCGAATCTTCACTGCCAACCTCTGATATCGAAGACCTAAAGAATTACTTAAGCTGCTACTTTCTCCGAATCTTCACTGCCAACCTCTGATATCGAACACCCAAAGAATTACTTAACAGCTGTACTTTCTCCGAATCTTCACTGCCAACCTCTGATATCGAAGACCTAAAGAATTACTTAACAGCAGCTACTTTCTCTGAATCTTCACTGCAAACCTCTGATATCGAACACCCAAAGAATTACTTAACAGCTGCTACTTTCTCCGAATCGTCACTGCCAACCACTGATATCGAAGACCTAAAGAATTACTTAATATCTGTACTTTCTCTGAATCTTCACTGCCAACCTCTGATATCGAAGACCTAAAGAATTACTTAACAGCTGTACTTTCTCCGAATCTTCACTGCCAACCTCTGACATCGAAGACCTAAAGAATTACTTAAGAGCTGCTACTTTCTCTGAATCTTCACTGCAAACCTCTGATATCGAACACCCAAAGAATTACTTAACAGCTGCTACTTTCTCCGAATCGTCACTGCCAACCTCTGATATCGAAGACCTAAAGAATTACTTAATATCTGTACTTTCTCTGAATCTTCACTGCCAACCTCTGATATCGAAGACCTAAAGAATTACTTAACAGCTGCTACTTTCTCCGAATCTTCACTGCCAACCTCTGATATCGAAGACGTAAAGAATTACTTAACAGCTGTACTTTCTCCGAATCTTCACTGCCAACCTCTGATATCGAAGACCTAAAGAATTACTTAACAGCTGCTACTTTCTCCGAATCTTCACTTCCAACCTCGGATATCGAAGACCTAAAGAATTACTTAACAGCTGTACTTTCTCCGAATCTTCAATGCCAACCTCTGATATCGAAGACCTAAAGAATTACTTAAGAGCTGCTACTTTCTCTGAATCTTCACTGCCAACCTCTGATATCGAAGACCTAAAAGAATTACTTAATATCTGTACTTTCTCTGAATCTTCACTGCCAACCTCTGATATCAAAGACCCAAAGAATTACTTAATATCTGTACTTTTCTGAAATTCTTCACTGCCAACCTCTGATATCGAAGACCTAAAGAATTACTTAATATCTGTACTTTCTCCGAATCTTCACTGCCAACCTCTGATATCGAAGACCCAAAGAATTACTTAATATCTGTACTTTCTCTGAATCTTCACTGCCAACCTCTGATATCAAAGACCCAAAGAATTACTTAATATCTGTACTTTCTCCGAATCTTCACTGCCAACCTCTGATATCGAAGACCCAAAGAATTACTTAATATCTGTACTTTCTGAATCTTCACTGCCAACCCTCTGATATCAAAGACCCAAAGAATTACTTAATATCTGTACTTTCTCTGAATCTTCACTGCCAACCTCTGATATCGAAGACCCAAAGAATTACTTAATATCTGTACTTTCTCTGAATCTTCACTGCCAACCTCTGATATCGAAGACCTAAAGAATTACTTAATATCTGTACTTTCTCTGAATCTTCACTGCCAACCTCTGATATCGAAGACCTAAAGAATTACTTAACAGCTGTACTTTCTCCGAATCTTCACTGCCAACCTCTGATATCGAAGACCTAAAGAATTACTTAACAGCTGCTACTTTCTCCGAATCTTCACTGCCGACCTCTGATATCGAAGACCTAAAGAATTACTTAAGAGCTGCTACTTTCTCTGAATCTTCACTGCAAACCTCTGATATCGAAGACCTAAAGAATTACTTAACAGCTGCTACTTTCTCTGAATCTTCATTTCCAACCTCTGATATCGAAGACCTAAAGAATTACTTAATATCTGTACTTTCTCTGAATCTTCACTGCCAACCTCTGATATCGAAGACCTAAAGAATTACTTAAGAGTTGCTACTTTCTCTGAATCTTCACTGCCAACCTCTGATATCGAAGACCTAAAGAATTACTTAACAGCTGTACTTTCTCCGAATCTTCACTGTCAACCTCTGATATCGAAGACCTAAAGCATTACTTAACAGCTGCTACTTTCTCTGAATCTTCACTGCCAACCTCTGATATCGAAGACCCAAAGAATTACTTAATATCTGTACTTTCTCCGAATCTTCACTGCCAACCTCTGATATCGAAGACCTAAAGAATTACTTGACAGCTGTTACTTTCTCTGAATCTTCACTGCCAACCTCTGATATCGAAGACCTAATGAATTACTTAATATCTGAATTTCTACTTTCTCCGAATCTTCACTGCCAACCTCTGATATCGAAGACCTAAAGAATTACTTAATATCTGTACTTTCTGAATCTTCACTGCCAACCCTGATATCGAAGACCCAAAGAATTACTTAATATCTGTACTTTCTCTGAATCTTCACTGCCAACCTCTGATATCGAAGACCCAAAGAATTACTTAAGAGCTGTACTTTCTCTGAATCTTCACTGCCAACCTCTGATATCGAAGACCCAAAGAATTACTTAATATCTGTACTTTCTCTGAATCTTCACTGCCAACCTCTGATATCGAAGACCTAAAAGAATTATCTGTACTTTCTCCGAATCTTCACTTCCAACCTCTGATATCGAAGACCTAAAGAATTACTTAATATCTGTACTTTCTCTGAATCTTCACTTCCAACCTCTGATATCGAAGACCTAAAGAATTACTTAAGATCTGTACTTTCTCCGAATCTTCACTGCCAACCTCTGATATCGAAGACCTAAAGAATTACTTAAGAGCTGCTATCTGTACTTTCTCTGAATCTTCACTTTCTCTCTGCCAACCTCTGATATCGAAGACCTAAAGAATTACTTAAGAGCTGCTACTTTCTCTGAATCTTCACTGCAAACCTCTGATATCGAAGACCTAAAGAATTACTTAATACTTTCTCCGAATCTTCACTGCAAACCTCTGATATCGAAGACCTAAAGAATTACTTAATATCTGTACTTTCTCTGAATCTTCACTGCCAACCTCTGATATCGAAGTCCTAAAGAATTACTTAATATCTGTACTTTCTCTGAATCTTCACTGCCAACCTCTGATATCGAAGACCCAAAGAATTACTTAATATCTGTACTTTCTCCGAATCTTCACTGCCAACCTCTGATATCGAAGACCTAAAGAATTACTTTAATATCATACTTTCTCTGAATCTTCACTGCCAACCTCTGATATCGAAGACCTAAAGAATCTTCACTGTACTTTCTCAACCTCTGATATCGAAGACCTAAAGAATTACTTAACAGCTGCTACTTTCTCTGAATCTTCACTGCAAACCTCTGATATCGAAGACCTAAAGAATTACTTAATATCTGTACTTTCTCTGAATCTTCACTGCCAACCTCTGATATCGAAGACCTAAAGAATTACTTAATATCTGTACTTTCTCCGAATCTTCACTGCCAACCTCTGATATCGAAGACCTAAAGAATTACTTAAGAGCTGCTACTTTCTCTGAATCTTCACTGCCAACCTCTGATATCGAAGACCTAAAGAATTACTTAACAGCTGCTACTTTCTCCGAATCTTCATTCCAACCTCTGATATCGAAGACCTAAAGAATTACTTAATATCTGTACTTTCTCTGAATCTTTACTGCCAACCTCTGATATCGAAGACCCAAAGAATTACTTAATATCTGTACTTTCTCCGAATCTTCACTGCCAACCTCTGATATCGAAGACCTAAAGAATTACTTAATATCTGTACTTTCTCTGAATCTTCACTGCAAACCTCTGATATTGAACACCCAAAGAATTACTTAACAGCTGCTACTTTCTCCGAATCTTCACTGCCAACCTCTGATATCGAAGACCTAAAGAATTACTTAATATCTGTACTTTCTCCGAATCTTCACTGCCAACCTCTGATATCGAAGACCTAAAGAATTACTTTAAGAGCTGCTACTTTTTCCGAATCTTCACTGCCAACCTCTGATATCGAAGACCTAAAGAATTACTTAAGAGCTGCTACTTTTTCTGAATCACTGTCAACCTCTGATATCGAAGACCTAAAGAATTACTTTAAAGAGCTGCTACTTTCTCCGAATCTTTATTCCAACCTCTGATATCGAAGACCTAAAGTATTACTTAATATCTGTAATCCGAATCTTTACAACCTCTGATATCGAAGAGCCAAAAATTACTTAATATCTGTACTTTCTCCGAATCTTCACTTTGACTGGAATCCACAAGGGAAGCGAAAAAGGGTCGACCAAAGCAGACTTGGCGCAGAAGTGTTGACGCAGAGGTGAAGGCAGCCGGCACGACATGGGCCGAGCAGAAGAGGATAGCCCAGATCCGCGTCCACTGGAGGGGTATTGTTGCGGCCTTAGGAATCAAGAAGCATAAATAAGATAATATAAAACTTTCGACCTTAGCCAAGACCATTTTCAGGGGTAAATTACAAAGGCAAACTTATTGCAGCTGCGATAAAATCCGCATTCCGTTGTAATCGTCAGTTGTAAAATTTAGGGAATTTTTTGCAAAGCAAGCGTTTCAATATAAAATAATTGGTAGCAATGTAAAATGGTACGAAATGTTTGCTATACGCACATTAATATGTCTATCAACATATTTGAATGAATATACACACACACACACACACACACACACACACACACACACATATATATATATATATATATATATATATATATATATATATGTCATTTGTCTCTAGTTCCTTTTGATCATTTTATTTTATTTTTTTTTCACCTCACTTCCACAACTTCCTTTTTGTTGTACATTTTCTGTTGTTTTAATTTAAATTAAATCTCCCTTTGAAGCCTGAAGAGCGGGATCGAAACCGGTTGCTTCGCCCGTTTTAAATATGTCTCGTAATATTAAGTTTTACACTTTTATTTCTGTCATTAAATTTTGTACCTACAAAATATCTTTATATATATATATATATATATATATATATATATATATATATATATATATATATATCAATGGGAAAAACTTAACCCATCTCGAAAGATCCGATGAATCTACTTGGATTATCCTTTCCACTTACGGATTTGATATTATCTATCTATTATCTATCTATCTATCTATCTATGTGTGTCTGTGTCTGTCCGTCTATATACTGTATCTGTCTGTCTGTCTATCTATCTATCTATCTATCTATCTATCTATCTATCTATCTAATTAAAACTCGTTTCTATCTATCTATGTAGATCAACTTGAGGCGGTGTAATGGTTAGCACTCTTGTCTCAGTAGAGCAATTACGACTTTGTAGTGAGCTCGATCCTCGCGGGGTATCCCCTGCTTTCGACCTTGTGCCACATCTAAGTTGCACTTGGAAAATCCCTGTACTGTGTCTGTCAGTCTATCTATCGTATTAAAACTGCTTTCTATCTCTCTTATTAAAACTGCTCTCTCTCTCTCTCTCTCTCTCTCTCTGTCTTGTTTATACCTTATTTTTATACATACAAATATTTAAGTAAATGTTCTGTTTATAAATATAGCGTATAAACAATAAATATATTAAAATAATTGTCGGACTTAGTCCATTTAATATATATATATATATATATATATATATATATATATATATATATCCGGAATTTAGCACTAATATATTGGCCAATGAACCGTTTAATTAATCTGTTTCCTTACTGCTACGTCTCTTAAAAAGGTTCTTGTTATATTACAGTTATGACATCACAAACGCAACAATGACATGTATTCTGTTATATTATATAACGGATGTTCAGAAGTCACAACTAAAGCAACGGATGGTGTTTCTGACGCTGATGGCCACGGCTCGAATGGTGATTTGGACGACGCGAAAGGAGGAAGTCTTGCGAGGCAATCGTCTTTCTCATTCGGATCTAATTCGATTCTTTGAGCATCAGCTCAAGATGAAGATTAGATCGGATAGAAAACGATTCGACAGTCTTTAGCGAAAGGTGGGTAAAAGAAGCGAGCTTGCTTCGTGTGAACGGGGCTAGCCTTGATTTTCTCTTCTAGGTCAACCTATTGCACATCGGGGTGGCTTCCTGTGGAACCCTCCCCTTGGTTAGGTTAGACAAGCTTCAGTGTACCTAGTTAATGTGAGTAAGTGTTGTTCTTTGGTTATGATCCAAGTCGAGATTCCCAACCTCCCCAGTTTGTTTTGACCCCCCCTTTCATCTCGACTGGGTCAGTTTTATATTTTCCCATTCCAGCCTAATATTTTATACTTTTTCCGACTCCCTTAGCGAGAGCGTCTCTTGATTTTGTCCCCTGGGCAGAATACAGCGGTCTCTCTGTTTTATGGGTTGGACGGTCTCTACTAACATCAATTATGTTTAGTTTGTATTTGTGTTTATTTTAAGTTTATTATTGCGTTCATTTCCCTCCCCTCTCATTTTATCATTATTAGAATTGTATATATATATCATCATTAAAATTTTTATGGCATGGGGCGCGATTTTGGTAGGTCTCCCTTGAGAGCACGGTATTATGGTGGTTGAAGGATTGTTTGGTGATGGACGAGTTCTTTTGGTGAATGGGTAAAATGTAATGTACGAATGGGTCTCGAATCTGATTAGCTAGGTATAAGATAGTTAGTGTTGACCAGCCTCTACTCCTCCCCTTTATTGGCCTCGTGCCACAATTTGTACTTTTTGTACGAATAAATATCAGTCACAACTAAAGCAAAAGGCATTGAAGTGTTTACGCAATTGGTTTCTTTATTGCTATGATTTTTGTAATTTCTTTTTTTTTTTTTTTTTAAAAGTTAACATATTCTCATTACTTTTGATACCAACAGCTAAAATAGAAACCGACCCTCAGTTCTCAGAACTGACAACTTAAACAGAAGCTACCGATGAACTGATTAATCAATTAATTCCTTTATCACAACGTTTCTTGTCAAGGTTTTCTCTTGAAGAAGATTGCCTTAGTTGTTTTTAATTTTCGATGCTTATTTTCAGGCTAGGTAATGCTGTTCAAGAGAAAACACTGAGGTTGATAAATAGACTTCAACATGAACAAATAATTGACATTGCGACATGTTAATAAAATTACATTACATAGAGCGTGACACGAAATATATAAATAAATAAATACACAACGGTGATTATTATATGGTGTTGACAATGCGTAAAGCAAGGAACCACTCACAGATGTAATACTGTAAGTTTCTTTACCCCCCCTTTCCACCATAGAGCGTGATTTGAAAGATATAAAAAATTGCACAACGGTAATTATTATATAATACTGATATAGGTTTAAGTATTTTATATTTTAGGGAAATCTATCACAAAATAAAAAAAAAAGTTTTAGTGAGACGCGTTTCGTTCTGTAGGGCGTCATCCGACTAAATTATGTTAAGGTAAATGCAACTACACATTCCCTTGAAGGAAATGGGATGCTGAGAATTTTAAATTGAGATTTTTTGGGTATACAGTCTAACCAATTTCATTTAGGTTCTTTTTGTTTATGTTTTTATCTCTTTTTTTAAAATTGTGATAATATAAGCTGTCAAAAAAGGCGAAATATTGTAAGAGCCTAGACGTAAATTCTTTTTAGATGATCCGGCGATTAAAGCACTTTCTATACATTTTTGCTTTAGTAAATTGCTTTTTTTATTTCTTTTTTTAAAAAAATTAAAGTAGCATTTTTTAAAATCAAAATTATGGTCAGACTCATTACGGTAAGTAAGTAATGCATTGAGTGTGTTGCTTTTTAAAGGTCCTTTTTTGTCCTCATATCATCTTTAAATTAAATTCCTTGCAGTTTCTCATATATATTCCTTGTGGCAATTATTACAGGTGATACATTAAATTTCTCCTTCATGATTTAGCTTATTATTTTGTTTTGTATTAATGAAGTTTTTTTTTTTATTGTTCTAGATGTAGTTAGAGCAAATATTATGCTAAGCTTTTCAAATGTAGTTTATGAGTAGAACAATATATTTTGATTCGTGGAGTTTGTCAAAGAGGCCCACTTTTCTATTTGTAATATTTTACGGGCCTTTTGTTTGGCGTTGAATATGAAATAGTTAGGGTATTAGAAGAGGATTATTTTGTAAGTAAAATACAATTCTAAAATTACTTTCCATTTATCTCCGAGCTAAAAATAATGTAAAATGAATTATCATATAATAATAGTGCTTTTCCCTCTCTTCGTTAGTGTATCTTCAGGTGATATTCGTAAAACTTGTTTTGGTGGTTATTATTTTCCATTTTTGGAAGTCTTTCGTCTTCCCACCTTCTTCTGTTCTCATATTGGTATCTCTCCATACCCTCAGAGGGTGTCAACGGGTTTCCCCTCTCTCTCACAGTGGCATCTCATACCGATCTCTTCAATGGGTGCCAACAGGCCTCCCCTCCTACTTCACATGATTACCTTCGCCTAACGCTCACGCCAGCATTCATCCAATGGGCGCCCAGCAGTGTGGGTGTGGTTAGACTAGCCTCGGTTTAAAAAAATCTTGCTCAAAGAAAAAAAAATTATCTCCTTTTTTTTTCTTTTTCTTTTCTTTCTTTCCTTTCGTAGTGTGGTCCCTTAATCGCAATTCTTATCCTAAATGTCACCTGGAATTCATCACCCGAGACCTGCGCCAAACAAGTGGGTGGTCATCCGATGAGATCGCATTCTGGCGTTAATTATTCCTGATAAAATAATTTTCTTATCATAGCCAGCTCCTGGCACAAAACAGATGTCTTTCCCAAATGACATGGAGGTGGTCCCACGGATATTTTAGTTTCGGTCAAGCTTGACTTAATTAATTTTTATCTCTTTAGAATTCTGCGGGAGGTCGCTTGTCCAACTTGAAATTTTTACCATTGCCATGGGCAGATTGGATATATCCTACTCGCCGCCCCGTAACATAAATCAGATTAAATCCGAAAAATCCGCGACCTTACTTTCCTCGCTAATGAGAATAAAACCTTTAGCATTTTTCTTTGTTAAATAGAATAACATCGCTTAGTGTCCTTTTCGTGATGGCTTCTTATCACCTAAATTTAATTCTCGCCTTTCTTTTTTCTTCTTTCTTTCTAGCGACCTAAATAGTGTCACAGTTCGCACGACCGTTACGCCTAGTCAATACATCATATATTATGGACTATTCCGTTTTGATCACGTGAGAAGACCGAAGGCATATCAGAGAAAAAAAGAAAGTATTTAACGTCTCCTGTCAATTCCCCATGAATACTAAACTTTTACGTTTTGATCGTGTAAAGAAGACAAAATACATATCAAGGACGTTACTTGCTTTCAGTGAGACGTGAAAGAAAAGAAGTTTCAGTGAAATGGAAAAAGTTCTCAATTTCAAATCTTTTTATTTGTACCCCCTTACTTCTTAAAATGACAACCAATACTCATATTTATGATTGTTATTGCTGCCACTCAATGACATATGGCTTTCATATGGGGTTTGGCGGATTTGACAGACTGTGAACGATGTGGCCTTGGCCTAGAGGAAACGGCTTCGAACGCATTCTACCATTGCCCTCGGGTCCGCCCTCTATGTGATCGTGTCGGCGAGCTGACGGCTCGTATCGCTCCCAAAAAGCTCCTGCTCATGTGACAACGTGTCATCCCCGTATTCTGCGGTAAAACGAATGGTGTTTCTAACTCTGCTGGCCACGGTTCGAATGGTGATTTGGGTGACGCAAATGGAGGAAGTCTTGCGGGGCAACTGTCTTTCTTATCAGGATCTGATCCAATTCTTTGAGCATCAGCTCAAGATGAAGATTAGAGCTGATAGAAAACGCTTGATTTCGACAGACTTTAGCGAAAGGTGGGTGAAAGAGGCGAGCTTGGTTCGCTTGAACGGGGCTAGCCTTGATTTTCTCTTTTTGGTCAACCTAGATCGCATCGGGGTGGTTTCCTGTGGAGCTCTCCCCTGGTTAGGGTAAACAAGCTCAGTGTACCTAGTTAATGTAAGTTTCGTTCTGGGTCTGTTTCCGGCCGCATTTTTTTTGTTAATGATCCAAGTTGAGTTTCCCAACCTTCCCAGTTTGTTTTTGCCGCCGCTTTTCATCTTGACTGGGTCAGCCTTATTTATTACCCATGTCCGTATATATATTTTTCTCCTTTCCCTTCTCCCTTAGCGAGAGAGCCTTTTGATTTTGTCCAAGGGTAGAATACAGCGGCTTCTCTTTTTCGAAGGGTTGGACGGGTCCTACTGCCATCAGTTATGTTTAATTTTGCTTTGTTTTGATATTTAGTTTGTTTTGGGGTTCACCTCTCCCCTTTCATGATCATTCATCCGATTTTTATATATATAATGTAAATAATATTTATCATCTCATTAGGATGCGTTTTCATAAGAGAGGATGTGGCATTATGGTGTATGGAGGATTGATTGGAGACGAATGAGTTTTCATGGTAAATCAGGAAATTGTAACGAGTGAATGGGTCGTGAATCCGATTAGCTAGGTATAAGATAGTCGGTAAAGACCAGC